AGTGTAGTGTTCTTGAATATAATCTTCTTAAATTTGATTAGCGTTGTTCTTTGAAGGGAAATAAAGAAGGTGATTTTAAGAAACTATAAATATGTATATATTAAATTAATGAAAAAAATTGCTTTTATAAGATATTGAATTTCTTTTTTAAATCTTTTGAATAATTTTCTTTGAATGATAACAGGTACAAATTATAGAGAAAAAAAAAAAGAAAAAAGTTTAATTAGGTCCACCCGCGGGTTGACCCGTGACCCATGATGAACGAGTTAGGGTTTACTTTCATTGACTTGTGACCTGTTTTAACCCAACCCATTTTGACCCATTACCCATTCTAACCTGACCCTAATTTGACTCAACCCGCCCGTTTACCAAGTCTACTGGTTTCCACTCTCCCTGGTTTCTTTTTTTTAGGAACAACAATATCTTTAAGGACAATGATGTGGACACCCAATGGGCAACACCCAAATCCACACCCATATGACCGGTAGAAGTAAAATGGCAAATTTACCCTCCTCACATTTCACAAATTACACAGCAAGAACAAATCCCAGCACTTTTCTCCTTCCCCGAAACCAAATTCAAATTGTATACTTGCTACGCATGTATACTTGATTTAATATGGCAATTTCAAGCACCACTAGTCATCAATTTCATCCCATTTGGTTTTATCAGATCTGAAATTTTTTTTTTTTTTTTTGCTACAGCTACTGGAGAACCCAGTCTGGGTTCTCCTTGAGAACTCGATCTGAGCTCAAATCGGGTTCTCTTGAAGAACCCAGATCGAGTTCTTCTCGCAGAACCCACCCTGGGTTCTTTAGGAGAACCCGATCTGGGTTCTCCAAAGTGTGAGAGAGAGGGGAAAAAAAAAAAGAAGAAAGAAAGAGGTGAGGGAAAGAAAAAGAATGATCGGGAAAACAGAGGGATGAAGGGAGAGGAAGAAGGTGGCGGTAATGGTGAGGATGGTGATGGAAAACAGAGGGATGAAGGGAAGCGGGCTTGATTGAGTTTTGCTGTGAGGAGGGTAAATTTGTCATTTTACTTGTACCGGTCAGATGTGTGTGGATTTGGGTGTTGTATCAACATCATTGTCCTATCTTTAATTAGGCTGTGGCACATGACATATCATATCACCACCGACACAAATTTTTTTTTTTTTTTTGAGGAACAGCAATATCTTTAATTAGGCACATGACATATCATATCACCCACCGACACAAACTTTGTCCCCAAATACAAAAGCACCACATTGGTTCATGGTTCATTGTTCCACGGACCACGGGGCACGGGGATTTTTTTGGTTTTTGGTTTATACTATAATTGACACTTACTCAAGTTAATTTTTTTTGTAATAACACATATTTTTAAATGATATTTTTATAATATATGGATGTGAATGATAATTTAAATTATTTTATTAAGAAAAGAAAAAATTAAAATTTTTTTATCATAATTATTAAATAAATAAAAAATAATGTGAACTTTAATTTTATTAAATTTATTATATGATTATTATTAAATATCTTTATATTATTAATCTTCTTGATTTTCTCTTTTTTTTATTAAATAATTATTATGAATGTGAAGATTTTAAGAGGTTATAATAA